CCATACTACTCTCCTTCTCCAAAACCTGAGTACAAGTCTCCACCACCACCGTATGTTTACAATTCTCCTCCACCTCCGCCATACTACTCTCCCTCTCCAAAACCTGAGTACAAGTCTCCACCACTACCGTATGTTTACACTTCTCCCCCACCTCCGCCATACTATTCTCCTTCTCCAAAACCTGTGTACAAATAAGCACCACCACCATATGTTAAAAGCTTTGTATACCTCCTTCGGCGTATTATTCTCCATCTCGATGTCTTACACGCAAGTCTCCATCATATTCCTATATTGAAGTTGGGTAATATTTTTCTTTTCAACTAAATACATATCTAAATTTTTGTTTTCAACAATTTCTTATTTCACTTTTGATTCTTTTGACACGTGATGTTTGATATTGTTATGTTAAGTTGATCACCACTTGCATGGATTATTTGTATTCCTCCATCTACATGTATTAATAAAATTGTTCACATTTATTTATCGAAGAGTGTCTTCTATACATTTTTATTTATTTATTGAAAAATAAAAGTATTATTCGGTTTGGACATCAATGACACTAGTAACTTGTGGAAATGAATGATATCACAAAGGGTGACGTAGAACCCTTTGATATCGTCAAAGGAACTCCTCTCAAGTGGTTGAAATACACAAGAAAAGTATTCAATCATTCAATTTTCAAACCAACCAGAAACAAAATTAAGAAATAAATAAATTTTTTATTGATTTTAATCATGATGTGTATGATACAAAAGAGAAGGGTTTACAAGATTATTAATCTAAAATCAAGTAACTAATATGAGAGAATCTAAAAAATTTATTCAAATCGTGTCGAAACTGTGCGATGGAGCGAGAAACGTCGAAACTGTACGAAGTCAGGAATGTCGGAATTAGAGATGTTGGGACTTGGACCGAAGGAGGAGATGATAGTTGTAAACAAATGTGGAAAAAAATAGATGATTGTCGAAAAAGGTAGGGGTAAGAGTAAAAATTAGGGTTAGACTAGTTAGTTTTTTAAAATCGATTTAATTTTATGTTAAACTGTGATAGCTAAATCAGTCCGTTGATTGGATACAATATAATAACGTGGTTGTACGTGTAAAGGACACAACAAAATTATTAGGCCATGTCAGATTGATTAAACACAAAATTAACACCGTTTATTGTGGGTATTAATTTGGAAAAAATTTTAAAATTAGGATTTTTTATTTGTCAAATTTTTAATAAACAAATGTGAAAAATTCTAATAATACATATAGACGGAGGAATACAAATAGTCCACGCAAATGGTAAGCAACTTAATATAACAACATCAAATATCACGCATCAAAAGAATCAAGACCGAAATAAGAAATTGTTGAAAACAAAAACATGATATGTATTTAACTGAAAACCAAAATATTACGCAACTTCAATATATGAAGATGATGGAGACTTTAATGCGGCAAAGGAGGTATACAAAGCTTTTGATATATGGTGGTGGTGTTTACTTGTACTCAGGTTTTGGAGATGGAGAATAGAATGGCAGAGGTGGGGGAGAAATGTAAACGTAAGGCGGTGGGGGAGACTTGTACTCAGGTTTTGGAGATGGAGAGTAGTATGGATGAGGTGGGGAAGAAGTGTAAACGTATGACAGTGGAGGAGATTTGTACTCAAGTTTTGGAGATGGAGAGTAGTATGGAAGAGGTGGTGGAGAAGTGTACACGTACGGCCGTAGGGGAGATTTATACTCAGGTTTCAGAGATGGAGAGTAGTATGCCGGAGGTGGAGGAGAAGTATAAACGTACGGCGGGAGGGGACATTTGTACTCAGGTCTTGGATATGGAGAGTAGTATGGAGGAGGTGAGGGAGAAGTGTAAACGTATGGGGGTATGAGAGACTTGTACTCAGGTTTGGAGATAGAGAGTAGTATGGTGGAGGTGGAGGAGAAGTGTAAACGTATGGTGGTGGCGGAGACTTGTACTCAGGTTTTGGAGATGGAGAATAGAATGACGGAGATGGAGGAGAACTGTAAACATACGGTGGTGGTGAAGACTTGTACTCAGATTTTGGAGAGGGAGAGTAGTATGGCGGAGGTGGCGGAGAGCTATAAATGTACGGCAGTGGGAGAGACTTATACTCAGATTTTGGAGATAGAGAGTAGTATGGTGGAGGTGGCGAAGAACTGTAAATGTACGACGGTGGTGGAGATTTGTACTCAGATTTTGGAGATGGAAAGTAATATGAAGGAGGTGGCGGAGAAGTGTAAATGTATGGTGGTAGTGGAGACTTATATAAGCTTTGGAGAGGGAGAGTAGTGTGGTGGAGGTAGAGGAGAACTGTAAATATATGGTGGTGGTAGAGACTTGTACTCAGGTTTTGGAGATGGAGAGTAATATAGTGGAGGTGAGGGAGAACTGTAAACATACAGCGGTGGGAGAGACTTGTAATCAAGTTTTGGAGATGGAGGATAGTAGAGCAGAGTCGGGGGAGAGCTATAGACGTAAAGAGGAGGTGGAGACTTGTACTCAGATTTTGGCAAGAGAGAATAGTAAGGAAGTAGGGGTGAACTATACACGTATGGAGGTGGTGAAAATTTGCAATCGGGTTTTAGAGAAGGTGAGTAGTATGGCGAAGGTGGAGGAGAGCTATACATGTACGACTGTGGTGAAATCTTGTATTTAGGGTGAGTTTTTTTTTTTAGTATTTAGGATGAGGTTTGTCGTGATAAGGAGATTTGTATTTGTGAGATGGGGATGAGTATGTTGTTGTTGGTGGCGGTGGAGAAGCATAGACCTACGGTTCGTAAGAGGCCACATTCATCCACTGCCACTGCGCTAAACACCAACGCATACGCCATAAGAGCCATCGATGACGTTCCCATTCTCTTTCGTTTCTTGATTTTTTTGTTTGATTTTACATCTCTTTATATACTATTCTTTTTTATTTTTATAATTCAATATATTTATTACAACCTGCACCATTCGTGGGTTGGTACTCTCTTATTACATGTGCCCGACGTGCTTGATATGTTGCCCTTTCATGTTTCAGTGTATCTCTTACGAAATGTTCTAAAGATTCATATAAATTATGAATTTAATATTAGTAATAAAATATAATTTTTTTTAAGGACGTAAAACCTTAATTCTATTAGAATATAGAGAGATTACACTACCAATTATACATATAATTCTTAATTTTTTAATTGGCTCTTATCTATCAAATAAATAAATTTAATATTAAAATCCGAAAACTCAAATTATTTCGGGTCATATCATTGTTTGTTTCTAATACATATGCCTAGTGGAACAAAAATAGTCCGAAGAAATTCAAAAAACGTATGGCCATGTCAGATTACTGAAGATAAAAAAAATTAGAGGCAGTTGGCAAAATGTATCCAAACAAAAACAAAATTTGTAAAATATCTCACAAAAAAATAACTTTTGCATACTATACTTTTTTTTCTAAATACCCAAACTACTCTTCACAATATTTCTCTACGATTGTGTGATAATCTAACTTTTAGAAATCGGTAAGTTTTGTTATTTGGTCTTCTTTTTTCTCCAATATTTTCTGTATCTTCTCTATTTCTTATATAGTTTATCTAATCTATTCAAATACTCTTTTCGTTGATTTTTTTCTGTGATATTCTGATCATTCTTTTGTATGCACATAAGGTGTTTGATAAAATGTCTGTAACAGAAAACTGCGGTAGATGACCTGGGATCTGTGAAATATGACATGCGCTCTGCGTTAAATGACCTACGGTCTGGCAGATGATCTGTGATATGCCGCAAAAGACATGCGGCCTGCGGCAGGTCATTTGGCCTGTGGGAGGTCATTTGGCCCACGTTAGGTCACTACGACTACGACCAGATAATTGCGATCGTAATTTTACTACGACCATATAACTACGACTACGACCATATAACTATGACTACGACCAGATAATTGCAACCGTGATTTCACTACGACTAGATAACTACGACTACGACCAAATAATTGCGACCGTGATTTCACCACGACTAGATAACTACGACTACGACCAAACTACGACTACGACTAGATAAGTAGTTTTTCATGTATGTGGAGGAAAACGAAATTCATGCAAGTGTTTTTTTGTAACAATCTATCTTTTAGAAATCGGAACTTTTGGTATTTGATTTTTTTTTTTCAACATTTTCTCTATCTCCTCTATTTCTTACAATTTATCTAATCTATTCAAATACTCCTCTGCATGATTTCTTTTTTGTAATATTCTGATCATTTTTTTATGCACATAAGGTGTTTGATGAAATATCTGTAAAAGAAAACTATAGAAGATGACTTGCCGTCTGTGAAAAATGATCTACGCTCTGTAGTAAATGACCTAGCCTACGGCAGATGACCTACGGTTTGGCAAATGACCTGCAGCCCATGGCAGGTCATCTTCGGCACCTACGGCTTGCGGTAGGTCACCTACGTCACCTATCGCATCTGTTAACCTGCAAGTGTTTTTTCACGAACTCATGCAAGTATTTTTCTACACTTATATAAGAAAACAAAATCCATACAAGTGTTTTTTCATGTATGTGGAGGAAAACGAAATTCATGCAAGTGTTTTTTTATAAATGAAAAAAATCTGCAGGTTATAATAATATAGAAGGGTATGATGGTCATTTTAATTTTAAAAAGTATAGAATACAAATATTATAATAGTAGAAGTATAAAATGCAAAGTCATTTTTTTATATATATTTATGTAAATTTTTCCAAAAAAATATTCACTTGTTCCTTTTTTTTTTACACTGAAGACAAAGTAGATAGAAGATTGATTTGTTTCCATTTTTGTTAATTGATTAGATTTAGCTCCAACAACTAGGAGGAAATTCTCTCATTAGTTACTTGATTTTATATTAATAATCATATAAAACTTTCTCCTTTGTATCATGCACATCACCATTAAAATCAATAAAAGTTGTTAGTCATTGATTTTCGTAACCCTATGCAAAATAGAAATTAATCATTTTATAATAAAAAAATATGAAAATAATAAACTATAATTTTATTATAAATAATATTAAATATCTATGTACATTATGATAATCTATAAAATATAAATGTCAAACTAACTTAAATATATTAATTGTTCACTAAAATAACATTGTTTTTTAGTTTTATTTGAAGTATAAGTATTTCAAAAATTTAAAAATAAAATAAAAAACTCAACTTTTTAATTTTTACAAATTCATACCTAAACTAAGATTTTTATCAAAAAAAAGTCCTAACTACTACATTTTATTCAAAAAAATATCTAAACTGTTAAATTCTAACATAAAAAACCTTTCGTGTTTACGTGGCATTTGACCTTACTTATGTGGCAAGTTCACATTCACTCTTCCCACCATGTCGCCTGCCACGAAAGAAAAAAAAAATAATTAAAAATTCATATATACACCAGCTCTTATAGGAAATACCATTGGTGCATTTGAACAGGATTCCTAATTTTTTGGGCTTCATTTTAAAAAAAATATTATTTTAAATTTTTAAAAATTAAGTCATAAATTTTTTAATTTTTTTTACAATGTTATCATAAAAAATAATTATAAAATTAGTTTTTTATTTTATGATTGAAAAAATATAAAATTTTAAGAAATCTCAATATCACTATATATTAAAATTGATTAAAAAAATAAAAAAATATATAGATATATAGTATTTGTACGGGGACTTCCGTTAACAATGAGACAGCTCTGATATACATATATATATACATACATATATACTGATATATATATATATATATATTATAATCCGGAAGTTCATCGGACCTTTGGTCCGACTACATATCCCCAAGGACCGGAAAAGCCCAGGTGTATGCCTCTTCCTATGTTTGGGTTTGAACCCAGAGTGAAAGCATGTTTTACATGTTCTCTCACCAGATCATCTAAACTTAGGTTATATACTGATACATATATATATATGCATACATAAAAATATATATATATATATATATATATATATATGTATATATGTATATATTTATGTATGTATATTTACATATATATATATATGATATATATATATATATATAATATTATCGATATATTTGTTTTATTTTTATTTATAATTATGCTTAAATTTTGCATGAGAATATATTTGTAACCAGAAGAATATACCCGTCGATTATGTATACTGTATTCTTTTCAAACTAATTGAACCACGAATTACATGAAACTATGAATTACATGAAACTCTAGCAAAAATAAAAGTGCTTCTTATTGCACATTTTGAACTCATTCTTCTTTGGGAAGATTTATGGTTTGTTATTGTTTTTATCCAAAAAAAAAGGATTTGTTATTGAGTACATCCTTATTTATACAATTTTTTCTTTTAGGTAACCGGAATGTTCTGTACTGAGATTCAATCTAACGACTGGACCAAGATCAAACCATGTGATTAAAATATACACTTTTCTTTCCAATTCACATGTTTAAACCACTCGTCAATATGATTAAAATATACACTTTTCTTTCCAATTCACATATTTAAACCACTTGTCAATATGATTGAACCGATCTCATACTCTGTGTACACAACCTCACAGTCTTCAGTCTGAATCCATTTTTCGTAAATGGGAATTAGAAAGTAGAGAAGACGTTAAAACGTTTTATTAAGGATGAGTGCAAGTTACATTATTTTGCTTCTAACCTCAGCATACATGCACCCACTCACACGATTAGGTGTGACGACTCAACTCCACGCCGAATTCAAAACCCTTGAAACATGCATGCATGCACGTACGTGCCGGTTTCAGGTTTAGTAAGGGGTAGCCTGGAACTGGCATTGTCCGACAGGGATGTTGCAGATGTTGGGCAAGTTCCTAGCAGCTTGGAACATCTGTCTCACCTGCTGTGGCTGGTGCTGTCCCTGGTACCTCACCTGTTGAGCCGCGTGCCTTATCACTGGGCACACGCACATGCGGTCAACTTGACGCAGCTCGTTGCAGCACTGTCGGAGGGCTGGCGTCCTCTGGTTCACGTCGTCCTCTTCAGTCACGAGCTCGATGTCATCATCGGCCGAGCCACCGCCGCGTTGGGCACGTCGGCGGATCCATTGTTGGCAAGCCCTGAGTTGCTGCTGCTGCTGGAACTCCCTCTGGCAGCGTCCTTCTGGGCCTCTCTGGTTCACGTCGTCTTCGTCGAGCTCCACTTCAGCGCGGAAGATGGAGGCGTTAGACAGGACGAGGAAGAGGGCAAAAGTTGCCAAGAGGACTGCGAGCTTCGCCATCTTTTGTGGTGATGAAGTGTTTGATGCTTTGTTTTGGTGGTTTTGGTGAGTGAAGAGTGAAAGGCTTTGATGGGTATTTATGGAGGAGGAGGGAGTTTGCATGTCGAGAACGTGTGAGAAGACATCAGACCACATTGGTCTTTTGTCTGTATTATGTGTTCTCTTTGTAAATGTGGTCTTTGCCAAGAGACTTTTGCTAATCGCCGCGTCTCCTCGCATGCACGTCCATGCGTCTCTAGTTTTCTGTCACGGCTTTTAATTATTTTGTCTCTCTATCTAATAATGTTCGAATAACCTAATTTTTTTTTTGTTAACGGTAAAATTTTATATATCTATACGATGTTTCTATATAGGGAGAGCTCTATGATGTTATCCCAATGATATACTCTGAAATCATGACATACTCCGAAATCAAAAATTACAAACAATCAGGGTTTGAGTAAGATTAAAAAGGCTCAAAACATAGTAACCAAAATGAAAGAAGCGAATAACCTAATTTCCCAATACATTTATTTTCTCTCTTTATCTATCACAAATTATGACAAACAAATGAATTAGATGAACAATACTCCTTATGCTCATGCGGCTCTCTTTTTGAATACGCATTTACATGTGTGGCTTCTTTGTATTTTCATTTTTTTCCCATGCATATTTAAGTAATTTCCACGTGACAAGGTAATGTTGATTATATGACGACCAAGAATCGAAATAGATCTTTAACCAAAAAAAAAAAAAGAATCGAAATAGATCAAGTTGAAGTTGAAATATTTGGATAGACATTTAGTAAGTTACAAGCCCATAAATCATTACGTACAGTTCCTATTTGTAACTTCTAAATGTCGGTTGTTATTTGTTCTGTAATTTTATGTATTGAATGCTGTAGAATTCATTACAGATTCTGATTTGTAGTAGTGCTCGTGAAAATGAGTTATAATGTGTGTGTTTTAGAAAATAAAAAGTGTTGTTCCAAAAAATGGTTTTCGGTTTAAATAGAACTAACATGTAAATCATGACAGGATAATCATAACGAATATTATGAATACATTTGTCGTATAATTGTGTTAATATGTTCGCATCAACTAACAAATATATCACCGATTTTGGCAGCAAATGGAATATTATCAACTCATGCTTAAAAAAATATTATCTTGTTTTACCCTCAAGAGATTTATAGTTTTTAACATAAGAATTTATTTTTGTAGGCAGGAGAATATGCACATCGATTATGTACATAACATTCCTTTTAAACTAATTACACCGCATTATTTTATATGAAACTCGGCAAAAGTTTTTTTATTTTGCATACTGTGCATTCATTCATCTTTGGGAATTTGTTATGCCCTGTTATCGAATCTTTATACATTTCAAACGGAACCAAATCTTTATACAATTCACGTGAATTATAGACCGAGCCAAAACCAAATCTCTATGCACATCTTTCGCCTGGTTTTGATTTTTCACTTTCGGATTTAAATTTTGGTTTATCGAATGCATAGTATTATACCGAATTCGTAAAGAGACTATAAAGAAGAGTAAGTCGTCGTTAAAACATTTTATTAAGGATGAGTGCACGTTACATTATTAAGCTTCTAACCTCAGAATGCATGCACCCACTCACTCACGCGATTAGTGTGATGCCTAACACGTACTCAAAACCCTACACAAACCCTTGAAATCGCACGCATGCAACAAAATACAAGCACTAAACTTTAGCTCCGTTGTGCGTGCACGCACGTATGTGCCGGTTTCGGGGTTTAGTAAGGAGTTGCGGAGAACTGGCATTGCCCGACGGGGATGTTGCAGATGTTGGGTAAGTTCCTAGCAGCTTGGAACATCTGCCTCACCTGTTGCGGCTGGTGCTGACCCTGGTACCTCACCTGTTGAGCCGCGCGCCTTATCACTGGGCACACGCACATGCGGTCCACCTGGTGCAATTCCCTGCAGCATTGTTGCAGGGCTGGCTGCCTCTGGTTCAAATCGTCGTCGTCGGATACGAGCTCGATGTCATCATCGGCCCCGCCACCGCCGCGTTGGGCGCGTCGGCGGATCCATTGTTGGCAGGCCCTGAGCTGCTGTTGCTGCTGGAACTCCCTCTGGCATCGTCCTTGTGGGCCTCTCTGGTTCACGTCATCCTCGTCGAGCTCCACCTCAGCGCGGAAGATGGAGGCGTTAGACAGGACGAGGAAGAGGGCAAAAGTTGCCAAGAGGACTGCGAGCTTAGCCATTTTCGTGTAGTGTTTTATGCGATGATTATGCTTTTCGTGTTGAGTGAATTGTGAAGAGATTCGTAGGGTTGTTTTTGTAGGGAGTGAAAGGGGTTTGCATGGAGAGAACGTGTAAGAAGCCATGAGATTATGTGTTTGAAGAGTGAGTGTGGGCTTTGCCAAGTGACTTCACGAGACGCCGCGTTTCGATTCTCATGCGTCTCTGTCGGTAGTAATCCACGAAAATCAAATTTTGCTATTCCACAATAAATTATTTTATTGTAAGAATACAGACTCAAATTATTCCACAATAAATTTATTGTTTTGCTCAAATTAGTTATACATATTTTTTCGGCTTCTTTAAAAACAATTACGTGCTCTTTTTTTTGCATTTATTCTTCTTTAATGTTTCCCTTATTAAATTACATTTTCATTAAATTTAATTCTTGTATTATTGATAAAATAAATAAATAATTTAAAATAAATAAATAAAAGGTGGACCTTTCCGATTATTGATATTTAAATAAATGACCAAATGTACGGCTATTTGTAAAACGTGTAATCATTTTTTTGGCAGAAATAATTAAATATATATTTAAATATCATAGAAATTAACTTATATATATTGTTCACCCAAACAAATAGTACAAAATATAATTATAACTGCTAAGAATCATATCTCCTCCTCTGTTTTTTCATCCGAACGTCATAAATAAGGACAATGACAACAAAAAATATAAACTTTGTGTATTTGGTATACAAACATTCATTTTAGTAATAAAATACACCAACTTTTATATTTTTAGCGCAAACCTTCACGAATAGTAATGACGTAAAAAAAAAATAACGGAACAATCAATACGTCATGTACAGTTGTATATAAATATCATATAATTTGTTTAATAAAATCATGTCACCAATTATATTTAGTAAATTTATTATTAACCTTATTTAGTGACTTTGTTTTTTAATGTTCTATATATATATATATATATATATATATATATATATGATTAGTGAATTTATTATAAACTTTATTTAGTGATTTTGTTTTTTGATGTTCAAAACATAATATATTTACATTTCAAGGGTTCCACTTTCCATATATATTATATTTTAAACATCAAAAAACAAAATCATTAAACAAAGTTAATAATAAATTTATTAAATATAATTAATGACATGGTTTTATTAAACAAATGATATGATGTTTATATACAACTGTACATGACGTGTTGATAATTTCGTTATTTTTTTGATGCTATTACTGTTCGTAGATGTTTATACTAAAAATATAAAAGTTAGTATATTTTATTACCAAAATAAAAGTTTGTGTATTTATTTGTCAAATAATTATAAATGTGCCATTAATTAACAATATAGCTTTATTTTCAATTATAAGAAATAATATGCAACAAAGTGTTTATATAGAAGCAGAGAAGTCGCACACAAGTTTTATTAAGGACGGGTGAAAGTTATATTAGTTGCAACCACTCAACATATATGCGCACCGACACATGGTAACGTGTGCTGCCTAACGCTAACTCAAACTCTCTTTTTTTCTCTCTCACACACAATAACACGATAGGACTAAAAGTCTCTAATTACGATACTGTTATAAACGCTTAGGCTTCCTATTCTTTATACTTTATAAGTATATAAATATGAGACGAGAGGAAGAGAAATACTCTTTCTTTGTATTTTATTTTTTGTTTTTTTTTACAAACTTCAAACCCCGCGTAGATATAGTATTACTAAGAATATTCTAGAGAATCATAATAATATTTGGTCTAACATATAATAATTATTTTTCAGAATTCTAGAAACACAAACTCTAAGTGTTGAACACACATTCCAACATCACCAAATCTTAGGAGCAAGTTTAGTCTCCAACATTAACTCCTTTGAACTTGTTCCTCTTCCAGTTTTGACTCCGACCTTCTTCCGAAAAGATTGAAATATATCTTTGGTCTTTATCCGCTTCTTCTTCCTAGTAACTTCTTCCAACCCAACAAATAGACAAAAATTAGTAAATTCATCATCAAACATGGATTCTATTGGTTGAATTGTATTATAAATCTCCTGAATGCTCTTCATCTTTCTCACGGGTGAGCTAATAGAATCGCCACTATCATAATGGTTGTGGATAACTCGGGATTGTAAATTTTCTTCAACTTCTTCGAGAATAATCCTCTGCGATTGACTGCTACCATTCCATCCCCAACTCTTCTCCTCATCAAACTCAACATCTCGAGACATTATGATTTTGTGAGTTTCGGGATTATACAACTTGCATCCTCCTCAAGCTTTGTCCGTCTTTCTTCCTGTACTTTCGCATAAGCTACACATCTGAAGATTCTGAGATGATCAACCTACGGCTTTCGTAAGCTCCAAGCTTCCTCCGGTGTCATGTCTTTGATTTTCTTCAATGAAAATCTATTCAACAAATGTATCGCATATTATGCATCTCCCGAAAACTCCTTAGGAACTTTTCTCTCGTTAAGCATACATCAGACCATATTCAACATTAGGGGTGGACGTTTCGGGAAACGGTTCGGGTTCGGGACGGAATAGATCGGTTCGGTTCTTTCGGTTTTACAAAAATAGGTACCAATCGGGTTTTTTATTGTATTCGGTTCGGTTTCGGTATCGGTTCGGTTCGGTTCCGGGTTTTATTAAAAAAATGTTAGATTTCCTTTAAAAATATTCGGATTTTCAGGATTTTTAAAATTCGGTTCGGTTCGGTTCCGGAAAAATTCGGTTCTCTAAAAATGGTACCGTTCGGGAAATAACAGCGGTTTCGGGTCGGAAAAAATATCGTTTTAACGGTTCGATTCGGTCTGGTTCCGAAGAACCGAACCGAACCGAAACGCCCAGCCTTATTCAATATAGTCCGGCTCTTCCTCTCCAAAACCCCGTTCTGTTGTGGTGTTTGAGGCATAGTGATCTGATGAGAGATTTCGTGTTCCTTGCAAAAATTCTCAAAATCGTTTGATGTATACTCTCCTCCCCGATCAGTCTGCAAGTACTTGATTAGACATCCACTTTGTTTTTCCACCATACTCTTGAATTCTTTAAATTTGGTAAAAAAAACTTCTTTTTTCTCCTTGAGCATATAGACCCACGTCTTTGCACTGCAATCATTAGGAAACGTTAGAAAGTATCGATTACCACCATTCGATATGGGATTGATGGGTCCACAAACATCTGAATGCACCAACTCAAGTGAACATGCTGTGCTCCACGACTTATACGTCGGAAATGACTTTCTTTGTTGCTTTCCCATAACACACACTTCACAAAGCTTGTTAGGAGCTGCAATCTTGGGTAACCCAATCACCATATCCTTCTTCTGAAGTAATTCTAATACATTGAATTTTAGATGCCCATATCAAAGATGCCACAAAGTTGAATTATCTAGAGTTGTTACCTTCAAACACCTTGACTTATTAAAGCTCAGCCTCAATGGAAATATTCGATTCTTCGTCATCTCTATGGTTGTGATCAATTGGCCATATTTGTCTCGAATGGTTAGTGACATATTCTTTAGTCTAACATCAATACCTTTCTCCAACAATTGTCCCACACTCAACAAATTACTTTTGATATCAGGAACATAGTAGACATTTGAGATGCAAACCTGCTTCTTATTTGGGAAGGTCAGCATAATATCACATTTTCCTTCAATCGGTCGCTTTGAAAGATCGCTAAACATGATATTGCCAAAGTTCCTTTCGACAAGCTTTGTAAATAACTCCTTTCTCCTGCACATATGGTTGGATGCTCCTGTGTCAAGATGCCATGTAACAAATGGTTTTGACTCACCATTTGGCTCGACCTCATTTTGTAACAACATCAACACTTCTTCTGCATCATCATCTTCTTTATCGACTATATTGACTTTCTCATGACCATCATTATCGGGATTATGCTAACATTCATAAGAAAAATGATCAAATTTCTTGCAAATATATATGACATTGAATCCAAAATTTGTCATACCTTCCTCCATAGTTTCTTCCAAATCCACGACCACGACCTCGCTTCCAATTCAGACCTCGGCCACCTCTTCCACTACGATCATACTCATTTATATCATTTTCTCCATCATCGTTCCGATTGTTGGTCGAGACCCGATAGTTTGGTCTATGACTACCTTGTCCGTAATAACCACCTCTTCATCTTCGGTTTTGATAATCTCCTCTTGATTTTTCGATCTTTAGAGAGAGCTTCGCCTCTAGTGCATGCTCCACAGACTTTTCTTCTCCTTTTCTCCGATTCAGTTTGTCTTCAAACGCTTTCAATGAACCAAGAAGTTCTTCTACCATCATCGAATTTAGATCCTTCGATTCTTCAATCACAATGGGTACAAAATCAAATTTTGAGTTAAGAGACCTCAAAATTTTCTCCATGACCTAGACATCCTTCAATTGCTCACCATTCATCGCCATTTGGTGAACGATGTTGATTACCCATGAAATGTAATCCGAGATCGACTCGGATCTCCCTTGCTGTAGACTTTCGAATTGCGATCGTAAAGATTATAATCGAATCTTCTTCACCTTATCAACTCCTTCATATGATTTCTTCAAAATTTTCCAAACTTCTTTGGATGTTGTTGTCGAGGTAATAAGCTCGAACGTCACTTTATCATCTTCTTTCGGAGATCTTTGAGTTTCTCCTCGTCATTCTCTTTCTTCATCTCCGTCTCGTCATAACCGTTCTCCACCATGTTCCATACATCAAGGGACCCTAGAATAAGAGCCTCCATTTGAATACTCCACATACGATAGTTGTCCTTCGTAAGTTTCGGAACTTGTGATTGGATCGAGCTCGTCGACGCCATGATATCCCGGCTCTGATACCACTTGTAAACGTTTAGGCTTTCTTTTCTTTATACATTATAAGTATGAGAAGAGAAGAGGAGAAATACTCTTAAAATACTCTTTCTTTGTATTTTATTTTGTTGTGTTTTTTTTTTCTACAAAACTTCAATCCCACATATATATAGTATTCCAAAGAATATTCTAGAGAAACATAATAATATTTGGTCTAACATATAATAAATATTT